TAGATTGAGCGTTTATGAGAGAATGCGAGTAAATAATAATGATAATGGTGATTATCCTTAGCTATTTATTCGAGCGAAAGCGTGTTCGGTCATTGTATTGGTTACGCCCTTTCAGACCCCACGTCCATTATAATGGACACTACCTTTAACACCGTTTTAGCAGCACATAGTGCATTTTTAGTCGTTGGAGACCTCGTGTATATATTTTCGTACAATCCTGAGCCAGGGATAGTAAAACTTATACACAAACCTGAACCCGGCTCGCAATCCTGAGCCCATATACGGGTTCAGGATTGTTTACCATGTTAATTAAAATACTAATCACATTCTAAACTAAGTGACAGAGTTTACATTAGAATATTGAAAGAGCGAAATTATTTGGTTCGACCGCCATCTTCCTGCGGTTAATAGAATTTTGTGTATGATTTTTTAAAGTGCGGTTCAGGAAAGATAGAAACTCTAAAATTATAGTTTCGTATATATGTGCAAGGGGGCGCTGTTTGTGCGTATACGAAACAGAACAGGTACGGTAAAACCTGAACCCATAAAACTGGCAACGCCGCATTACAAATTAAACTTTAAATTAAACCAACATAGTCTGTTATGCAAATCACTAAACCTAACCTAAAAGGTTGTATTTAATTTATGTTAAACCAAATTTAACTTGAGAATGTTTTTTGTCGATTGTAACAACTGACCCCTCACTTTTGGTTTCAAAATAATAATTTGACGAGATTCAATTGCAACATGAGTTTCCTATTCGATTTATATCGCTTAGAAATGAATTTTTTTGACAAGCATACCTTTACAGATTTTTGCATTTTCCCGGAACCAACGTCTTACCGTCGAAAATGTGACAATTCAAAAAATTCAATTTAATAAAAATATTTAACCTAAAAGGTTGTATTTGATTTATGTTAAACAAAATTTAACTTGAGAATGTTTTTTGTCGATTGTAACAACTGACCCCACACTTCTGCTATCAAAATAGTAATTTGACGATTTGATTCAATAAAATTGCAACATGAGTTTTCTATTCGATTTACATCGCTTAGAAATGAATTTTTTGGCATGCATACCTTTACAGATTTTTGCATTTTCTCGGAACCAACGTGTAACCGTCGAAAATGTTACAATTCAAAAAATTCAATTTAATAAAATTATTTAACCTAAAAGGTTGTATTTAATTTATGTTAAACCAAATTTAACTTGAGAATGTTTTTTGTCGATTGTAACAACTGACCCCCCACTTTTGGTTTCAAAATAATATATTGACGAGATTCAATTGCAACATGAGTTTTCTATTCGATTTACATCGCTTAGAAATGAATTTTTTTGGCATGCATACCTTTACAGATTTTTGCATTTTCCCGGAACCAACGTGTTATCGTCGAAAATGTGACAATTCAAAAAATTCAATTTAATAAAAATATTTAACCTAAAAGGTTGTATTTGATTTATGTTAAACCAAATTTTACTTGAGAATGTTTTTTGTCGATTGTAACATCTGACCCCCCACTTTTGGTTTCAAAATAATAATTTGACGAGATTCAATTGCAACATGAGTTTCCTATTCGATTTATATCCCTTGGAAATGAATTTTTTTAGCAAGCATACCTTTACAGATTTTTGCATTTTCCCGGAACCAACGTGTTACCGTCGAAAACGTGACAATTCAAAAAATTCAATTGAAAAAAATATTTAACCTAAAAGGTTGTAATTGATTTATGTTAAACCAAATTTAACTTGAGAATGTTTTTTGTCGATTGTAACAACTGACCCCCCACTTTTGGTATCAAAATAGTTATTTGACGAGATTCAATTGCAACATGAGTTTTCTATTCGATTTACATCGCTTAGAAATGATTTTTTTTGGCAAGCATACCTTTACAGATTTTTCGCATTTTCCCGGAACCAACGTGTTACCGTCGAAAACGTGACAATTCAAAAAATTCAATTTAATAAAATTATTTAACCTAAAAGGTTGTATTTAATTTATGTTAAACCAAATTTTACTTGAGGAGGTTTTCTGTCGATTGTAACAACTGCGCCTCCACTTTTGGTTTCAAAATAATAATTTGACGAGGTTCAATTGCAACATGAGTTTTCTATTCGATTTATATCCCTTAGAAATGAATTTTTTTGGCATGCATACCTTTACAGATTTTTGCATTTTCCCGGAACCAACTTGTAACCGTCGAAAATGTGACAATTCAAAAAATTCAATTTAATAAAAATATTTAACCTAAAAGGTTGTATTTGATTTATGTTAAACCAAATTTAACTTGAGAATGTTTTTTGTCGATTGTAACAACTGACCCCCCACTTTTGGTTTCAAAATAATAATTTGACGGGTTCAATTGCAACATGAGTTTTTTATTCGATTTATATCGCTTAGAAATGAATTTTTTTGGCAAGCATACCTTTACTGATTTTTGCATCTGCCTGGAACCAACTTGCAACCGTCGAAAATGTGACAATTCAAAAAATTCAATTTAATTAAATTATTTAACTTAAAAGGTTCTATTTGGTTTATATTATACCCAATTTCTTTTGAGAACATTTTTTCTCAATTGTTTCAGCTGAACTCTCAGTTTTGGTTTCAAAATAATAATTTGACGAGTTTCAATAGCAATATGAGTTTTCTATTAGCGTTCTACAATTTAGATATTAATTTTTTTGACAAGCATGCACTTTTCGGTTTTTGCATTCGCTCGGAACCAACCTGCAACTGCCGAAACAGTGAAAACTAAAAGAATTCAATTTAATAGAATTATTTAATTTAAAAGATTGTATTTGATCGATATTAAACCAAATTTCCCTTGAGAATATTTTTTTATCAATTGTAACACCTTAACTTCCACCTTTGGTTCCAAAATATTAATTTTACGAGAGTCATTTGCAACATGAGTTTTCTATTAGATTTCTATCATTTATTTATAAATGATTTTTTTCATAAGCATGCACCTTTGGTTTTTTGTATTATTCTAAAGCCATGGTACAATCTTCGATAATGTTTCACAACTTTGTTTGTTACAGCTTTCTTATTAATACCATGAATCTTATGAGTTATGAGCATTGTAATAATAAAATGAAATCGATTTTACTAGATAATTTGGTAAACTTAAGGATTATATTTACAATTCCAAATTTGATATGTTCATTCAGAGTTTAAACTGGATTTATTTTCACATTTGGGGTTTAGGATCGGAATAACACCGTCTTTAGAACATCACGATAAACTTGACCTACGGATTGGGTAACACAATACGTGAATAATGGAAAGCGACGTATTGGCAACATTGCATGGGTTCACCTTTGTCGGTTGTAATACGTATTTATGTATAAATGGGTTCAGGATTTCACGGAATATGCAAATGGGGCAGGTTTGTACGAAATTCCAGTGGTCATATACAGCTTTTAAACTAAGTGTGTTTTTGATGTACCTATATATTTCATCAGAGCAAAATAGAGGTCTTAAAGGTCAAGGATTTGAAGACAGAAATACGATATACAAGTTATTTTTGGTGGGTTCAGGATTGTATGGTTTATAGAGTGGTTCAGGATTGATAGCAAGATATATATATATATATATATATATATATATCATTATTGTGACGCCGAAATAGAAAAAGTTTTGACGAAATTGGTAAATTGTTGGCACACCAGTATCAAAAGCGACATCAATTTTCAACGAACGAAGAATTTTCTACAAGATGCACCAAAGTGAACGAGATCAGATTTAACGATTGGTTCGCACGGGTAAAGAAGCTGGCAGTAAACTGCAAATTTGGAGCCGACTTAACCATGGTTTTAAAAGAAGTTTGTGACAGGTATGGTGGATGGCAAGGTGCTAGACAGACTGGTAAAGGAGGATCCGTCGCAGAAGACCTTAGACGAACTATTTCAAATGGCGGTAAAAAAGGAGGCATCCTTGCGGATAAGCGGTGGTAGCAGTCGACAGCAGCTGTTTGCAATAGACAAGAAGAGGGTTACTGAAAGGGGTCGGCACTCGGCAGCACATTCAGCAAAAAGCTTCGGGCTCACAGTCACAGGTCAAGTGCTATGCGTGTGGTAAGAAGAATCACAATTTCAGTAAGTGCACGGTACAAAAATTTTAAGTGTAGGTTATGTTTTAAAGTGGAACACAGTACATCTATCTGTAATATGAAACTACAAAATTACCTGCAAAGTAGAGATGAAGCACAATCACATGTTGAAATTCAAAATGAGGATTCTGTTTTAGAGCGTACTTTGTATCTCTTAGATAATGAGGTTACACGTAATTTTAAAATAGATGTTTTCATTAATCGTGTTAGGTTGCGAATGGAAATCGATACAGGTTCTGCCATTTCAGCAATATCTTTTAAATTGTAGAATGAACTGTTTAATAACTTACCGTTACAGGTTTCAAGGACAGTCTTGAAATCGTATGATGGTACAAATATTTATCCAAAAGGAAAAATTAACGTAAGCTTGCAGATTGGAGGTGATTGTAAGATCACGTGAAATATTTTAAAACAGTTCTCAGGGCAACTTAAGTAAGATGAATGTTTTTGTAATTGATTATCGAAATATACATAAACATGTGTAAGTTGGTCACAATGAGAGCCAACTACAACAATAGTGGGTTGTAGAGTTAGACCTTTATTATAACATTTTACTTTAACCTCGTTTATAGTTTGTTTCCGGTTTGGAGTGTTCTTCATAAACTGCCTGCACGCTTCGTAATAATGCCCCTTTAAAGATTTAAAGAAGCACCTGTCAAGCGATTGCAGGTAATGGGTGGGTGTTTGGTGGAAGACAAAATAAAATTATGTCGTGTTGCTCAGCAAATTCCAACATTTCCACATTTGAGGTGTGTGATGTGTGCCCATCCAAGAGCAGCAGTACTTCCTAGGGTAAAAATGGTTCCTTAACCAATCGAAGAAAATGTTAGAGTTTACATAGGCCGATTTTTCCGACATTTGTATTTGTAACCCTGGAGGCATACTATCACTCTACTCATCTTTTTTGTTTTTTCCCTTAAAAATACAGTAAGGGGGGAGATAGCTTCTTTCCGCATTACAGCAAGCCAAAACGCTTATTGTTTCTCCCTTTTCTCCAGGGCTGATGATGGACACAGCTTTTGAACCTTTTTCAGCGATTACCAGTCCTGCTTTTGTATTAAGTTGCAAACCAGTTTCATCTGTGTTGTACACGTTCCCTGGTTTGTCGAACAATTGATATTCGGTAAGTACGCTCTCCAAGTCTTGAAAGTATTTAGTTACCACCTCTCGTGACATTCCTTTTGCTCGCGCTGTTGAAGTGTTTTCAGATTTCCGAATGCTTAAATCTGTTCTTCTTCTCAAAGAGGGTTGAAGCCACTTGTAGCCTGCTTTTTCTGCAATAATAATAGAATTATCAATAGGTAGGTACGAAATTGTTCGCGATCTCACCTTCTGCTTGGTTAAATTTTATTGCTAGTTTTAGTTGCACGGCAAGCTTGTATGCCATAATTCTCACATCATCTCGGATCGGAGCAAAACCTCTTTTTTGGAGTTTTTTTAATGTGAGAAGCTAATTTTTGTTCAGCGTCGGTCCTAAGGAATGAATCTGTTCGTTTTCCCATAATTTCCCGTTTTGATTCTCCTCTTTAATGTAGCATGTGGTATATTGAAAGATCTAGCAGCCTCATTTACTCCCAAATTTCCCAACTGTACAGCATCAACAGCCAAAAGTAAGTTTTCCGACGTCCACGAACTTCTAGGAGTTGCCGTTTGCTTTCTTTTATACACGTTAGGCATTTTTTCCTGAAAAAAACTGTTGGCTCATCTCTCCTCTACATTGTTGGCTCAACTATCCTCCTATGAGGATAGATAGATAGTTTTTATATACTTCGCCTTCAGATACTTAAACTTGTTCTTACACTGCTCCACTGTATAAGTTTTCATTTCTGCTGCAATTTTCTTCCACACCTTATCGTTGTGGATGGCAGTTGAACTAAACAATTTCAGGTTGTCTATATGCTGATTAGTTTTATAATGTCCCGTCGAGACCATTGCTTCCTTGGTTCGTTGTCCAAATCGTCATTCTGTATAAACGAATAAAAACATAAATACACATATAATTTATGCGGTGTGAATTGTATACCGTTATTTGAGATTCTGTTAATTCAGTTGTCATTGTGTTTGTTACTTTTGAGTTTATTACATTCACCCGGTAATAAATAACCAAAAACCCGCCAACTGTAAACTATTGCTTTATTTGAAGGATAAAAGTATGAAAGAAACAACTTATTGTACCATGGTCAAGACTATTGCTTGACATCCATGAACTTAGGTTCACTTGCATAATTTTTAACATTTAACATACAGAGCACGTCGCCGATATTCGTGATAGCTTTTGCAATACTTGCTTGATAGAGCGCATCATTTGTCTGATCAACTTCGAATTCACCAGACTTGTATATTTCAGGGCGTTGACGCTGTCTTTCGAATTTACGAGGCGCATCGAGCACATTCGCGACATCGATTTGCCCATACTCGTTGACGTTGCTTTCATTTTGACTCCCCTCCAAAGCATCGTCATCAAGTTCTTCCTCCGCATCCGATTTCCCAGCACAGTCAATATTCAGCCGACACCGAATTACCAAGTTCTGTGCACAGTTTTTCACTTTTGAAGAACACGTCGTGTGAGCGAACGATCTTTCCACGCGATGATTATTTTACGAGATTTCCTTGTTCAATAGGTTCAAATAAAGTCCCTTCTAATGGACATCGGGTCTTTCATCTAAAATGTTAATGTACACTTGGGATACTTACATATGACTACAACAGAATTGAAATTTCTAAATCTATAGATTTTAACCTGTGTATAATGCACATTTAGAATCAAAATGCTATTCATTTACTATGATAATTTCTAAAACAGTTCCTATTTTTCACAAAACAAAGATGAACATTGCATTTCACACAAAAACATGTCTTCCCTTTGCAATTGGTTTTTTTGCACCTTGTTGCTTCCTTTTTGTTGTCCATGTCTGGCATATGATCAACCATATCTAATTGGATTTCACGGATGGGTCGTACCTCACCCAATCCCCGTTTTTTTGTTGGTGGTGGCGTACTGGGAGGTGTAGAACTACTTGGGCGACCAATCCTTTTTTTCCATGAACTGCTGGCTTTCCTACTTTTATTAGATCCTCAGCCAGACGCATTTTGAAATCCAAAAAATCCATAGTTCTATTCTTCGGAACTCCTTGCTTTTTAGCATTATGTTTGTCCTCGAGCCAACTATTTGTGCAAGCTATCTCAACTGCATGAAACAGCATCCGTAGTGTCCATTTCTTAGATTTTATAAAAATACGGTAATAACCTACCATTTGGTCGAACTGATCGACACCTCCCATGCAACTGTTGTACAGCTTTACAACTTCTGGGCGTGAAATACCAATGTTTTGCTTTTTCAACTTGTCCCACCTCATGACTGTATCTTCTTCACCAACTCCAACAAAATTGGAGCCTAAAGTAACACAACGATTATCCACCCATTTACATAACACTATTCCATCTTTGCTAATTATTTACTCACTATAGCCTCTAGGTTTCTTTGTAGCGTCTCTGTCAGATATTAGAGGTGGCTTACTGAACCTGTTTATCCTGACAGTTCCTGCTGCATGTATATTTCTTTGTTGTAGTACTTCGAGTAAGTTGTACGAAGTAAAGTAATTGTCGAAGTAGAGTGAACGACCAGATGGAATACGCTCAGAAAGTTTTAAAACTGTAGTTGCTCCCAAACCTAATTTTGCTAAAACGTCCTTTTCAAATTCGGTAGTTGCGCCCTGATATATCACAAAATCATGAGCTAAGCCACTCTTTCCACATAACATAAAGATTTTTATGCCCCATGGGCAGGGTTTCCCCTTCACATACTGAATTATGGACAGGTTTCCAGTGAATGGCACCATTTGCTCGTCCAGACATAAATCCTGCTCCATCTCCAGTTGCATGCAACGTTTCCTAACATACTCATATAGAGGTCGAACTTTATATAGCCTGTCCTTACACCCATCAGGCAGTGGCGGATCTAAGGAAGCAGGCCCCATGGGCAACTAGATCACGTCTGCCACTCGAAGAAACCCACTAGTCTAGCTGGTGGGGTTGTATTTGTGGTCGTTTCCGGGACTAGATGTTTGGGGGCCCGTTCCCTCTTATGATAAGCCTCACTGCCGTGGGTAGCCGCACGTGAGTGGACAGAAAGTCCTCCACGGTCGGTGTGTTGTATTAACAAATAAAAGGAACAAAGTCCGATTAGTAAAAATATATAAGTAAAAAAGATAAAATTTAAATATTAGTATATGAAAAAATCTATGAAAAATGGGACATCACTATTATAAAATGTTTGTATAAGATAAAAACGCTAAAAACATATTAAAACATCTAGGAACTTAGCCTAGGACCAGCTTGCGGCGGAATAGGTGCCGATGAAATTACGACCCTATGTGGTGCGTGCCTATGGGACCGCTAGACCTCGCGCTTGCAGTCATCGATTCCATCCTTGTTCACATAACGGCACGCATAAACTCTCGATGAACGAGTACGCTGCCTGAGATGGTGTTCAGAACTAAGGACTTCCTCTCGGCCTTGGTCAGCCGAAGCTTATCGCAAACCCAGTCATTCTGGATGCACCACGTGCCCCTCGCGCCCACCACTAAGGTAGTGAACGTTAGATTTCTGCCCGGATATAAACGTTCCAGGGCAGCGCGAGTGAGAGGCTCAGAATAATAGGATATTTTATCCTGAAACGCGGCATCCAGCGGCCGGGGTGACTCCCATGGGATAGCCACATCGCAAATGATGACTTCGTTAGCCTTTGAAATAAGGAGATCAGGCTTCCTCAGTACACCATTTGACAATCGCAAATGTGGCTCCTCCTCCACCGACCAACCCTTGCGCTCGCATAGTTTCCTAATACGAGCGCAGACCCGGTCATGCCTCCGGATCCTCGGCCAATGAGTAGCGGGGCAGCGTTGTAGAACGTGGGACAGCGATTCTACCCTGCTGCAGCCCGCTCGACATCGTCTTTCGGGTTGTGGGTTAGATGGTATTCCCCTTGTGGGAAGAAGGTTCCCTCGCAATTGGACGGCCGAGATGTACTCCCTTCCGCTCCAGAAGATTGGAGGGCGGTCGATCCAATGCCCGTTATGACCTGAGTCGTGCCCCTGCCTCAACCCCCCGCCTGAGTACGATGACTCCAACCTGTTGCCCCATTCGTTCCTCGCTTGAAGCTTCGTCGTGCCGAAAGCGGTATTGACCCAGGAGTCCAGTTTCCGCACAAACTTTTTACAGTAAGGCATCTCCAGGACTCCTGCGGTTATTGGGTCGGCGGTAGCTCGCATCTTTGCGAGACGTCTGTGTAGTGACCCCGGCACTAGTGTGACGAAGGAGGGTACCCCAAGCCCTCCGAGGCGAACGGGAGCATGGATGAAGCCATCCGCACAGGAACGGGGAAGGTGTAAGGCGCGTCGGACGGCGACACGCACGAGGCGGTCCGCACTCTTCAACATGCCCTTCCCTACTTTGGTACACGTCAGTCCACTCAACATCCTAGGGATCAGATAGGTCTTAATAAGAACCAGCTTCTGAGCTGGTTTGAGTCTGGCCTTCCCTATCCGGATCAATCCCTCTCTCCACGAGGCGCTGTCTGGGCCAGCCCTGCCTTCGGCAGAATACTTGCCCCCCAAGTACTTGAACAGCTCCCTCGCTTCCAGGGACCGCAAAGGGACCCCTTCAGTAAGGCTCTTAAACTATCCCCTCTCCTCCGACTATCGCCCATCAATTTTTAAAATCATGTTGGTGTGGATAATATTATACAATTAATTAGTAATGATTGATAATTATTCTATACATTACTTACATTGTTGGATGAGGAACAGAAATTAACTAAACAGCTCCAACAGTGTATAATTGCAGAAAAACATCTAATATTAAAAAATGTAAACACGTATACTCGTAGATACATATAAAAAATAAAAATATTTAAGATACAATAAACGATAAAATACAGGTATAAATATATTTCAAAATATATTTCTAATTGCTCCTTTTCATGCAGTTTCTTTTTCTCAGAGCCGCTCTTATGGATTCTCTTTGGTCCGCTCATAGTGGACTAAAAATTTACATTTATGAGGATCATTTAAGAAAAAAAACCTATTCAACATATAATGCAAATGTTAAATTAAGAATTGAAAGAACGGCACATCAAATATTGAAATCGTCTACCTAAATGTAAATACACAAAACTACATCTATATAAAATAAACATAGGTACTTACTTAAGTAAAACCAAATTTTCTAGGCATCTCACCGTTTAAAAAGTTGAAGTTTTATGAAATTTTAAAGTTCAGAAACTAATTACGTTATTGTACCCAAAAGTATTACCTAATAATTGTTATAAAAATAAAGATTCCACTTACCGAAAAAGAAGCATCAAATGTCCGTAAACAGGATATCTTT